CCCCCCCCCCCCCCCTTTTTTTTCAGAATTATATTGCTATCCAAGAGGTTTCAAAGAAGAATTTGGAAGTGGAGGTACAAGTTTGTGAAATATACACTTTGGAATGAGGAAAAGTTCCATGAATAACCTTAAAAAAAATTATCTCGTTTTCTGTACTACGTGTAACATTTTGCGATACATTGTGTTACTCCCATTTTGTCATCTATTTTTACCACCACTACTTACATTGTCAACACCAAAATCACCAACACTACTTGCCACCTATTTCCACCACCACCATCAAAGTTTATATGCACTGCCACCATTAGATCAATACCACCATCAAGCCAAAGGATGGCAAATCCAATTGATTCGAGAGCCACAAGTCCAACTGAGCAAGGCAAGGCAAGGCAAGAAAACCTCATCCCAACTAAGGTTCGAGGTAGGGACAGGCAACGGCTTTGATGAACTCATTGCTCAAAAAACACTCAAAATAACAATATAAACCCAATTATTTGGATGAATATCGAAAACACGATTCAAAATTCAAGAAATATTTTATTTCAATTATGTTTGCAACTTCAAAAGTTATTCGTGCCGACACTACCATTAATCAAGACTAATGGACAAACTTTAATAAAGTAACTTTAACAAAGAATCAATCATCTTTAAAGCAACTTTAGAAAATGGTTCATTATTTCAAAGGACAGGTAGAAAAGACAAGTGGAAGATAAATTATGAAATAATTGTCCTTCTACACTATTCAAAGGCCCTTAGTACTATCAAAAATTCTTTCTAAATAATTTAGAAAATTTCAAATCCAAAATTCAAGTATAAAAGATCAAAACTCAAGATCAAGGAGAAGAGTTTTTAGTAGGAGAAAAACTTCTTCAAGAAAAACCTAGATTTCCTTGTACTCTAATATTTTCAAACAATTGTATTTTGTATTAAAATTTTCTTCAACAAAATAATTCTTCAATTTATCAGATTTCGTATTTATTACTATTGTTTCACTATTTTCCACTCTCTTGGGTCTATTTGGTATCATATATGCGTGCGTGTGTGTACTAAACGGGCCAAATGAGGTACATATCTCATCTTAATTGTATTGGTTTCAACATTGTGTATGAATTATATTACATTCGTTCTTTTCACTTATTTCATATGATTTCATTTTCAACCTCACTTTGGTTTATATGACACATATTGAGTTTGCGGGATGTTGAAAGATATATTTTCATATTCTCATGATATTATTGTATCTTTAAGATTGTCATAAATTATTTTCATAGTACATCAATTATTAATCAATATAGGATCTTTTCTTTTATATTAGTTTGTAACACTATAAATAAGATCATTCTTGCTATAAATCATAAACAATTATCCAATTTGTTAGAATTTCGATGTAACCCAAATTCTATTTTAGAGGTATATTTGGAGTTGGTTGTTTGTATTGGAGAAGTTTTGAATAAGTAAAAGAAGTCAAGGAGAAGGTTTCTCGATTTTGGTAGTTTTTCTCTCTTATTTCAATTGCAATACTCCATTATTGATTTTGCCAATTGTGATAGGAATTCACCTTATGTTAGACTCTTGATTATATTAATTCTTCTAGTATGTTAGGGTTTCATGTATTATAAATGTGTGGTTTATTACATATATTTATTTGATTGACTCGGAGAGTGATTTAGGTAGATCCAGATTAATGGAGAGAAACTTGTAGATAGAGAAATCTGGAGAGAATATTGTGAAATCCAACATAACATACTGTAACTCCTTATTTTTGATATGGTAGATTCTTCGCATTTGCCACAGTTTTTCCTATCTTGGGTTTCCACACAATCTTGTATTCTTGTGATTGTGATTTTCATCTGTATCATAACAATTAACTCAATTTTTAACAAGTAATATCAGAGATAGGTTCGACAGTTCCTAGCCAATTCGGTTTCACATTAGAACGAGATTTTATTTTTGGCATGGGAAGTATGAAGTTTGATATTCTCTTTTGCATCGTGACACCAAATTTTTGTTGTGGCAGGTTTTTAATTGTATGTTGAAGGAAAAGCAATGTTAGGATCGAGTTATGATAAAGTGATAGAGAATGTCTCAGTTAT